GGCTTTGGCCCCCAGCATACGACTATTAGTTACAATAGCTGATTATAGGTGGACTTTAGGCTCCCGTCATACAAATACCCGTCTAATATGATGCTGACTATTGCAGGCCCCAGCATACACTATTATTACAATTACTATATAGGTGCGCCTTAGCGCCCCGCCGATACAAAATACTATTTATTGGGGGCGCTAGGGCCCCATCATACGCACTGCTCTATTATTAGGCAACTTCNGGACGGGGACTGGGGGCTGGGCCGCGGGGGACGAGGTGGCGTAAAGCCACACTTGTGGATGTGTATATCTGTCGCCTGCGAATTATTGCGAAAGTCATTTCGACTCGTAGTTCTAGATTTTCTCACTACGTAGCAGCACTACACGGTGCTCAGCTTAAGCTCCGTTTCTTCTGCTCGTGTAGAATTTTAGTGGCGTTTGTAGAAAATATTCCAATAAATAGAAATAAACCAAAAACTGAGCTGACTATAGTGTTTCTGTGTATGTAGAGCATTTAGAAGTAGTTATTGATAGTGCTCGCTGTCTTATTTTTTTACGTTCCAATTAGTTTTGAACGTCAATTCGGTGTTTCATTGCTGTATTCCATTCGACGCTGTTAACATAGATATATACAAACACAATGACATCAGGGACATTAGGAATTAAAATATTGAATGAAAAAAAATAAAACTTAAAATAATATATCTCCCACTGAGATTTGAACCTGTCAATCTGATTTGATCTCTCATACATCTGTCAACACGCCTATGACGTCCACGACACTGCGCGCTAATGAATAGCATGAATGCATCGTGGACGTCATAGAGTCAAAATTACACCCAAACACACGAATATACCTACGCTCTCACATAGGCGCGCAATCAATCAAGCACGCTCGCACGCACACCCGCATGCACACACAGACACATACATATATAACAAAAAATATAAGTAAACCCACATATCATGTTGCAGCAAAAGTCCCTGTCACCAGTCGCCAACAGGCGAGCGGTATGATTAGAATATTCATACATCGTATTTACTTACGTGTTATTTGTTTAATTATAGAAAGGCGTGGCACCCAAATTTTTTCGTGGTTGCAAAAAATATGAACTCGATATAATATAGACATCATTGCGATGATTATCGGCCAAGGTAAGCAAACACAGATAGCTGAATGTCGTGTACACGTATACTTAGTGTATTCAGTCTATATCGGGCAGCGTGATTCACAAGGCTATCATGAGGGTACAGCTAGGAGAACTAAGCATAATCGCGGTCCTTAACCTTGTTGTTCACTTACAAGCGTAGGGTGAACTGACAAAGCGTAACCGCTAGATTAAAATATTGCAGACACGCAGACTGAAAGAGAAGAAGAGACAGTCGTCGGCAGAGAGAAGAGAGGAGAGAGAGAGAGGAGAGGACGAGAGAGGAGAGAGAGAGAGAGAGAGATGAGAGGAGAGAGAGAGGGGAGAGAGAGAGAGAGAGAGAGAGAGAAAGAAGAAGAGCCAGAGAGAGGAGAAAAGACAAGACAGAGACAGACGGATATGACGGAGTGACGGGAGAGAAAGAGAGAGACGAAGAGAGCAGATGAGACAGCGACAGAGACGCAAAAGGAGAGCAGAGAGGAGAGAGAGAGAGAGCAGAGAGAGAGAGAGAGAGCAGCAGAGAGCTCGTTTAATGTGTGTGTTGTGTGTGTGTGTGTGTGTGTGTGTGTGTGTGTGTGTGTGTAGTGTGTGTGTGTGTGTGTGTGTGTGTCGTGTGTGTGTGGTGTGTGTGGTGTGGTGCTGTGTGTGTGTGGTGTGATGTGTGTGTGTAGTTGTGTGTGGTGTGTGTGCTATTGTGTGTGTGTGTGTGTGTGTGTGTGAAGGAGGGAGAGATCGAGACCTTCCCCTGCGTATAATATGCAGCCTAATGACGACTGTTTTGACACCTTCGTTTGCATGATTTCGGCGTGAACTAGAGTAACAGTCTCCCTCTTCTCCCCGGATACAAAACGATCACGACTTCAATGATCGAGAATTTTGTGAGAGCTTTACTACGTACAGCGGCAGGAAGACCGGTTTCGGAAGCGATATAAGTATAAGCAAAATCTGTCAAGCGTTAGTCACTGCGATTTGTTCACAGCTCCGGAAAAGGTGGACACGTTTGGGAACCTAGCTGTCATTTTTCAAAGCCTTAGTTAATAGTTACACGCAAGCGTGCCGGTGCTAGGTTTGATGGGGCCAGTGTGCTGGCTGCCGGAAGACCTGTGGAGATATACCTGAACCATCTCTCTTTTCTCTCTCTCGCTCTCGCTCTCTCTCTCTCTCACTTTTCTCTCTCTCTCTCTCTCTCTCTCTCTTTCTCTCTCTCTTTCTCGCTCTCTCTCTCTCTATCTATCTATCTATCTCTCACTCCCTCACTCTTTTTATCTTTCTCTCTCTCTCCCGCTCTTCTTTCTTGCTCGCTCCCCTCTCTTTCTCTGGCTCCTTCCCTTCCTCTCACTCACTCTCTCCTTCTCTCTTTCTGTTTGTCTCTATCTCTCTCCCTATTGAGAGATCCTGAGAGATTGCCCGACGTAAAAAAAACCTCGTTAGGAACCGGTTAATTAGATGGCGCTGAATAAGTGCGCATGAATCAATTGAAACTTATAGCAACTTAAAAGATATAGGTAGAGTATATTGATAGTGCGTATAGACAACAGCCTACGACGATAAAGCTGCATAGATTAAAATAAATGGGTTGCTGTGTGGATACAATTAAGATACAAACTATCATGATCCATGCCTTGTACCCCCCCCCCCGACACGCCCTTTTTTAAACACGACGCCTCACAACGTCTTCGTCAACATTCCCCCGCACACGTCTCCTCAACCCCCTCCCCTATTCGCACGCCGCTCTTTTCAACCCCCCTCCCCCTGCCACACGCCTCTCATCCAACCCCCTCCCCCCGCCACACGTCTCCTCCAACCCCCTCCTCTCCGCACACGTCTCCTCAAACCCCCTCCCCCGCCATACATCTCTATTAACATCCCACAAGTCTCCTTTCACCACTTTCCACCTACCTCACCTCACACTTCTCCTTTAGCCCCCCTCCCCCGCACACGTCTCGTTTAACCCCCTCACCCCGCACACATCTCCTTTAACCCCCTCCCTCCCAAAATGTCTCTTTTAACCCCCTCCCCCCGCCCACACGCACCTGTGCGAGGCAGTGTATCTCGGAGTCCCTCCAGCGGTTAATGCTGTCTGGCGAATCGAATATGACCAGGTTGGCCCAGTTCCAGTTGTCGGCATCGCACGTTGTCGACAGGTAGCAGAGCACGCCGTCGCACCGTCGCGTTGTCGCGCCAGCTCTACCAGCAGCTGGTCGTCCGAGCTGGAACACGCGCCGTCGGACACCTGGCCGACGCCGCGGCGGTCTGGGCTGCCGAAGAAACCGACGAAGGCGAGCGGTTGACGACAACGCGCTCGCAGCGCCGCCCTGCCAACGGGAAAGAAGAGTCGGCCAAAGGGCGGCGCATGTCAGGAAGAACTCTCCGGCACTGCAAACGTCGACGGCGCCGACGTCGTCATTGTCGGCGGCGACGTCATCAGTGTCGGCGGCGACGTTGTCAGTGTCGGCAGCGACGTCGACGTTGTCGTTGTCGGCGTTCGTGTCCGGTGCACCCCTTCGATGTAGCGGAGAAGGAAGTTTTTCCTCTCATGTAGGAACTCAAAGTCGGGTTCGTAGGCGCCGACAGGCCGTTTGAGGCCAGCGTCTTCGTTGGTCCTGAGCCTGCCCCATGCAGTGCGCGATACGTGTCGGTGTGTGTGTGTTGTGTCTTCGTGTGCTACTGTGTGCTTTTCTTTTTTTTTTTTTTACACTGCTACTGTACGGCTGGCTGTGCGTAGTGTTGCTACGTGTGTCACTGTGCTGCTTACGTTGTGGCTGCGTATCGTGTGCTACGTGCTGTCACTTTGTGTATGCGTGTGCACCTGTGCTTCGTGTGTACGGGTGTGCTGGTGTCTTCTCTGCAATGTGTGTGCTGTGTGGCTGTCGATGGTTCGTGTGTATCGTGCTATACGCCACTGTGTGTGCGTGTGTGTGTTCGTGTGTACGTGTGCCACTGTGTGTACGTGTGTGCGTTCGTGTGTACGTGTGCCACTGTGTGTGCTACCGCTGTCGCTGTGTTCGTGTGTACGTTCGCTGCCACTGTGTTGTACGCGTTGCTTGCGGTTCGTTGTGTACGTGTGCACTGTCGTGTACGTGTGTGCCGCTCGTGTCATACGTGTGCTTCAAACTGGTGTGTCGCGTGTGTGTGTTTCGTGATATACGTGTGTCGACTGTGTGTCCGCGTGCTGTCTGCGCCTCAGTGATATACGTGTGTCACTGTGTGTGCGTGTGTGTGTTCGTGTATACGTGTGTCACTGTGTGTGCGTGTGTGTGTGTGTCGGAATGCAGCGGTACGCGCCGCTAGCTATGTACGAGCAACGATCGCCTGCCTGTCTGTTCGTCTCTCTCTCTCTCTCTCTCTGACACGTTTTCTCACTCTCTGCCTGTCTGCCTATCTCTCTCACTGTCTCGGTCTGTTTGTCTAAATCTCGCTCACTCTTTCCCCTCTCGCTACAACGCACTTAATTTCTCTCTCGATAACTGTCTCGCTCGCACTCCTGGTGCTATCTACTCCTCTCAGAATAAATATAAATAGTACGTTATCAACGACTATCAATGCGGCGTGGAAGGTACAATGACAAGGTCACTTTCGTTTTATTGCCATCAAATCATTCCATACAATGTTATGGTACAAGTAGACACAATAAAATGTCAGTGAAGCAATGCCACAAAAAAGTGGCATATCGTTTATTCAGTTTATAGTACATTCACACGTTCTCTAAGCGTCACTTCAAGGGTAAAGCATTTCTTGCTTTTATTAGCGCCTGCCAGAAAAAAATACGCCCATACGCTATATATATAATTGATATATAGGTACCTATCTATATATCTATATTTATTTATATATATCTTTCATATATATATGTTTTACGCCAGATCGTGACACTTTATAATTTACAGACCAATGAGCAAATTTAATCTGCCATGCGGGTGTGCATGATGAAGCGTGTCCGCTGATTCTTAATTTTACGTCCGATAAATAATAGGTAGCTTGCTGTCTGCTCTGTGCTGCTACTGTTGCTTGTTGTTATTGTTTGTTTTGTTGTTGTTGTTTGTCATGTTGTTGCTTGTTCGGTCGCTGCTGCTGCTGTTGCCATAACGATTGATGCATGATGAAATGATATTTTGATGCATTTTGATGCATGATGATTGGTGATGATGCATGATAATGATGAGGTTGATGCCATAGAAGGAAATAAGACGAATAATCATTCGATCGTCATAAGGTGAAACGAAAATATCTCATATCTGTACAAAAGTAGATCAAACACACTCCCACGTCTCTATACAACTGTGTCATTCTCTTTTTCTCTGCCCTCCCATCTCCCCCCCCCCCTCTCTATCATTTCCTCTCTCGCTCTTTTCCGCACACCCTCTCTCGTGCGCGCCATCCTATGTGTTAGAGGTTGCTTGCCAGTTCGAGTTCCGCCCCAGAACTCAACTCTTGCAGATCTTCTGCTAAATCTCGCCGGTAGGTGTCGTTGTCCGCATGCGTTTGAGAGCCTGTCTGAGTCTGGGGATGGGCTGCAGCTGGCGTGTGTTGAACGTGAACGGCCACGTCTGAAATCGAATGAAAACGATGTTTCGAATTAAAGCTGCTGTAAATTTAATGTTGGGTACATCACTGGTTACATCACGGTCTTGCTGCTGCGCAGACAGTTTAGTGCATTACACAATTTTGCGTTGCCCTGAGCAAAAAATCAAACTTCCACTCCGTCCATGACCACCAGCAAACCCATGGGCCAATCTGACCGCTCGGCACAACGATTCTTCTTCGATCCGTTCACCATCTCCTCACCAATCACACCCCGACAAAGACATTACCACACAACAAACATATACACACCACAACCCACTCCTCGCGCCTTACTGCATGTCACCACTGGATTCCACCGCCGTCTTTCATCGTTCAACCATCGCCCTAACCCGCTCCCACCCTCCTCCCTCTCACACACACCGCGCGCGCGCGCACAGCACACACACAACAATACACACACTGCTTGCGCCGCGCGCGCGACGCACGCGACGCACGCACGCTTACAGCACGCACGCAAACACGCACGCACGCACGCACTGCTCACGCGCGCACGCAAACACACACAGCACTTACGCACAGCGCACTACGCCACGCACGCTACACACACAACGCACGCCACACCACACACACACACACTACCACACCACACACACACACACACACACTACACACACACACAAACACACACACGCTACACACATTCACACACACACACACACACACACTCACACACACACACACACACACACACACACAACACGCACAACACATCCACACACACACCACACACACACACACACACACACACACACACACACACACCACACACACACTACATACACCCTCCCCCACCCTAGCCACCGAACAGCACTCTCCGCTTGGGTTGCGCTTTTCGGCAACGAGGGACTCTCGCTGTTCGTGCGCCGGCTCCTTCCCACGTTCTGCCAGCGGCAGCAACGATGGCGGCGTGCGCGGCCGCTGGCTGGCGGCGGCGGGCTCTCTCTATGGCCACATATACGCCTGCTTGTTATGATGTATATCGCCTCTGCTCAAATGGCGGAGCCATGCTGAGTCTAGAGGCTACTGGCGTTTCTACCGCCGAGGCCACACGCGTCTGGCGCGCGCGGGGGCCCGGGCTACGCATCTTCTGCTACATGTAAGCAGCAGCAGCGGCAGCCCGACGGCCAATGACGGACTATCGCGTAGCGCGGTCGAGGCCGGGCGGAGCAGGGAGGGGGCGCGGCGGCGGCGGCGGCGGCGCTGGCGCGCGTCCTGGCGCGGCCGCGTGGTGGGGAGGCTAACGGTAAAGGGCTATGCCGTGGAAGTGGTCGTGATGTGAGTTCGCCGTACAGCCAAACCGAGCCAGCGTAAGCCGAATGAATCTAGATTTGCTTTTCTCATGTCTGTATCTGCTTTTTAAAGTTAGTTTACCGCTTTAATATGCTTTCTTTAGTTACCCCTTATACGTCTTAGTATCGTGCGCAGGGCCACAGAGGTGAGGGAGGGGAGGCGAGGGGTGGGGAGTGGGAGGAGGGGAGGCGAGGGTATGATTCGAGTGCGGATTCAAGGAGGGGTATGGCGATGGAGATTGGCGACGTGAATGCAGAGACAGACTTATTAATGAGCAGAAAAAGTCTTTTTTCTCTTTTTTTCTTTCTATTTTTTCTTTGGTGAATGAGATTCTTATAGATAGATAGATAGATAGATAGATAGCTTATAGCATAGATAGATAGTATAGATAGATTATGATAAATTAGATAGTTATACGATAGTCATTATTAATTATCTATAGATGAGAGACTAGATAGATCATAAATCGATTATATTAGTATAGTATAGCATAGATAGCATAGTATATGCATAATAGCTTATAAATAGATTAGATATTATAGATAGATAGCATACGATAGCATATGATAGCATTAGATCTATATAGTTATAGATAGCATAGCATAGTATAGATCGATAATAGATAGATAGATAGCATTAGATAGATAGATACGATAGATTAGATAGCTATAGTACTTACAGTTTTAAGCCAGATGTACAGCTACTTCACCTTTCAGGAAAGCTGGGTGTGAAAGATTTCTATTATCATCGGCAGTCGAATTACTAACGACTGAGTAGTATATTGACATCTACCACTTAGATTGCAGCTGGTTATACGGCCACTAATCGGAGGGGACGCAGGAAGAGCACTATCGTACACACGAGTATCACGTAAGATCGCGGCACCCCACCCCAACGCACACAATACACCCAGGAGAGTTTATTTAGGGTATAGTGAGAGAAGTGAGGACGACGGAGGGGGCGAGTGGGCGACAACAGCAGTCACGACGGCATCACATATCATGCAGAGCAGCGACACACACACACACACACACACACACACACACACACAACACACACAACACAATATATATAGAGAGAAAGAGAGAGCTAGAGAAAGACGGAGTGGAGAGAGAGAGCAGTGAGAGAGGAGTGGACTCGCGAGAGAGCAATGAAAGAGATGAGAGAGAGAGAGGAGGAGAGAGGATAGGAGAGAGAGGAGATTGAGAAAAGTGATGGGGGGAGGGAGAGCCAAAGAGCAGGCGACTGAGAGCAGAGAGAGCACGAGGAGAATGAGAGAGGTGAGGAGTTAGTAAAGACCGGTATTGTGCGGATGGAGTCGTAGTCGGTAAGGGCAATGGCGTACTTGAGGGGGGAATGCGCACGGTGCGGCCAAGATCGGCGGGGCGCACTGGAGTTGACACACGCAGATTTCCTGTGCGTCTTGGCCCCCAGCCGCCTGAGAGTCTCCGTTCCTGGCTGAGTCCGTCTTCAGGGGGTGTCGGTGTTTGGTCCGCCTCGGCCACCAGGACCTCGCTAAGCCGCGATTGAGCTGCGCTGAGTATATCAGTTACTGCAAGCGACAGTTATCTGGGACGACAGCCGGAGCGATTTTGCGTTATACGATCGCAGGGCGCAGAAGGAAAGAGAGGGTTGTGCGGGGGGGGGTGTGTAGGGTGAGAGAAACACGACACACGAGCGACGTGGCGGGGCGGCGCGCACGGACGAAGGCAGACACGTCACGCGTAGAGGACGCCGAACGCCACGACTCACACGCACGCACACACCACGCACAAACGCGTGCACACACTGCACAACACACACACACACACACACACACACACACACACCACACACACACACACACACACACACACACACACAACACACACATATATAAATATATATATACTATATATATATATATTATATATTATACGCAATATATATATCTATATATATTACAATATATATATCTATAAATGGAAGAAAGGAGAGAGCGCGACCATTGGGAGAGACGAGAAAGAGAGAGAGAGAGAGAGAGAGAGAGAGAGAGAGAGAGAGAGGACGCAACGAGGCGGGTGGGAGAGGCCGTCAGTCCGAGGCCCATGTCGTGTTTATTTACTTTAGTCACGCGCGCGACTAAACGGTTGTCACCGAGACAGCTCTGCCGCGGCCGTCTGAAATAGATCATCGCACGACGACGTGCGCACGCAATCACGGTCACGGTCACGGTCACGCAATCACGGGTCACGCGCCACACACCGCACGACACCGGCACCTAAATCATGCTTACCCGGTCTCTTTTCCGCCCCCCAACCCCCAACACCTAAACTTCCGTCGTTTTTTTTAAGTAACCGAGTAATAAACCGTTAATAACTTTCCGAGTTTTTTTCTCAGTTTTACAGCGTCTCTACAGAGTGAGAGAAAGCAGATATAAAGGCTGATAATCGAAATCGAAACTAGTAGTTCGTCGCTAACTATTTCATCTCTGTCATGGAATCATAAGCCGATCGAACTCTGGTGGGGTAGTAAAGAGAAGCCTTGCCCCCCCCCCCAGAAACAGTCTGTGCCTCCTCTTCACAAAAATTCCTTTCTCTATGAGCGCCCCGTTTAACGATACGTCAAACAGGAGAACGCGATCTGGATCTGAATCCGATCTGATCAGAATCCGAAATCAGAACGGGATCTGAATCCGAATCTTATCTGGATCCGAATTCTACAAGAGTCATACTTCGATGCTCCCGGGGGTCGCGGGGAAGTTCTCACTGCGTATTATAATCAGGATATCTGCATATTCTTCTCTTAATCTCTAAGATTCTGTATCGCTATCGCCCTATATGATAGACAGGACGAGTGTGGCGAGGTTTTCTTTTGTGTGTAGGGCCTATGTGTTTTTAATATGTTAAGTTGAGTTGAGTATTTGTACTCGTCACTTCTATGAGAGTATTGGCATACTCCTAGGACAACTTTGCTCATTTTGTTTGTGAATTCTGTGGTAGTCGAGCCATGGAAACCATGTAGGGGATCGCGGTACTCTGCTTTATATGAAGGAGTGCGGGCTCATTCACAGTCTCCCAGCTAAAAAAAAATGTACAATGTCCCCGTTCCCAGTTTAATAAAATTACAATTCAAGGCTTTTCTTCATCCCGGCTAATATAACATCTAATCCCGAATCACGAAATATTTATACGGTATTTCCGGAGTTCATAGTTAATTAAATCCGCATATATAGTGTGAGGTGGGCATTGATCAAGGATAGAGAAATTTCGTTCTCATGTAGAGGTATGCACATTATGTAGGTACCAAGTGTACAACAATTCGCTGGCTCAATTACAATATTATGAAAGCTACTAAAAGCTGCTAAAAATCTGTGCCATTTTAGCTGTATTTCGATTTCGCGTGAGAATATAATCATGAATATGATTTGGTATTTTACGTGCAAAGAACTGCCAGGACTTATTATTTTGGGCAAGGCATATGCGAGCATTTTAAGCCAGGCGTACGAGATAATATTCCAAGATAAAGAACTAAACAGGATCCGACCTTCAACAAATTACGAACTACTTGATAATTGAGCCTCGTATTTTTTTTTCGTCAAATGTCAGTGGTTCTTTATCGCATCACTGCTCCATCCTTCTAGGAAAATCTTTATTAACAAGCGCAGTGCAAACACACGCGAACGTAACAGACG